CGGATCGTCTTGGTTAGTTGCCGAATCAACTGATTCGCCTGTAATTTGTTCTTGAATTTTGAAATTTAATTAATTTACATCAATGTTTGTGGCTGCCAATATAGCTTGATTAATAAAAAGATATTTCTATGTTTATATAAATATATTCAAAATTAGATTATCAAAAACTACACAAAATGTCATGACATAGGTCATTGTTTTTTTTACAAATTGCGTTGCCTACTCGATTAAAGAAGAAAAGGGCTGTTTTTAGGGTTTTCCCGGCAATTATTTGTTTTTTCTCGCCGTAACAACCATCCTTGGACTTCAACGAACATTTTAAAAAAAGAATTGGTCAAATTGGTCCAGGCGTTGTTGAGTTATGCGCTTACCAACACATTTTGAGATCCATTTTTATATATAAGATTCTCTATACATCTGCATTAAGAAATATATACAACATTATAGTAAAATTTTGCATGAAATTGCAACGAATTTACAAATAATAACTCGATGGTCAAACCGAACTGATAAACTTCATAATCGTGAACACTTTTCTAGTTTTTTGCAAATATCTCGAAAATGTGTTCTAGCACTTATAAAATATTTTACATTTCTAAAAATTTTATATACAATTCTCTATACATCTGCATCAAAAAATATAAACATCATTATAGTAAAATTTTGTATAAAATTGCAACTACAATTAATAACTCGATGGTTAAGCCAGACTTAAAAAACCTCATAATCGTGGACATTTTCATAGTTTTTTGGAAATATCTCGAAAATTTGTTCTAGTACTTGAAAAATATTTTACATTCTCTATACAATTCTCTATACATTTGCATCAAGAATATGTACATCCTTATAGTAAAATTTAGCATAAAGTTACAAGAAAGGGTATGGGCGTGTTTCCATACAGAATTGGCCCCACCCTGGTATTTAAATAATTTTGATGCCATTTTATAGGTATTTTCGAGAAAATCCGATATGCCAAATTTCAAATCCGTAGCTCATCATTTGGCCGAGATATCATTGAAAATGTGTGAAAGTGGTCCTTTTTTTCAAAGTCGTTTTGTGTCGCAACTGTGAAAGATATCGACAAACCAATAACGCCAATCTATTTTTACATCGGTATATACTATATTATTAATAACAAATATTGTTTAATTATTATTTGTAAGTGCATGAAAATGTGAAAATAATTTTTTGTTTGGAGTTTTCGGGAAGTGCGGTTGTTTGGACTAATTTTTAATTAGCATCATTCGAAAGGGTATTCAATTTTAATTTGCTATCCAAAATTTTGTTTTATTTCATATGGTAGAACATATTGGAAACACGCCCATACCCTTTACTTCAGATCGATGGCCAAACTAACCTTAATAGACCTCGTAATCGTTGACATTGTTATAATTTTTAGCAAATGTTTCGAAAATTTGTTCTAGTACTTATAAAATATTTTACATTTCTAAAAATTATAAACAATTCTCTATACATCTGCATCAAAAAAATATATACAACATTATATGTGTTTTTCACAAACACACTCACAGACACATATACGTTTTCCTTAAATTTGGTCTCATTCGATTCAGAATGGTTTGAAACGTCGAAAAAACATAAAATTAGCAAATTGGATTTTTTATGACTAAAATTGCTGTTTTTTAATTGAATTACAATTTATATTTTCCTCTAGTGCCCTGCTCCAGGCGGAGGCCCTCGCCCAGCAGCTGCAGCGCGTCGCCCTGTGGCCCGCAGCAGCCGCCGCCGGCAGCAGCGCCTGCTCCCGATGCCACTGCCCAATCTCCGACCTCTGCCCGAACTGCTGCGTCCAGAACAAACACCAAGAGACCTGCTCCAAGTGCCAAAAACCGATTAGCGACAACTGCGGCAAATGCCACAAACCCAACCGCCCCGATCCACCACATCCACAAGAACTCTGTCCGAAATGCCTGAGGATCGACTCCTGCGCCAAGTGCCAGAAATTGTCCTCCAACGACATCTGCAGCAAGTGCCAGAAGGTTTCGTCGAGTGATAATAAAAGTGGAAGGTGTTCAAAGTGTCATAGACAGAACGGTGGTCTGGTGCAAATCGTTTGTGCGAAGTGCAAAAGTTGTTATCAGAGATGTAATAAGTGTAAAGTTGGTGGTAAGGATGGTTCAGGTGGTGCAGGCGGTGGTCAACCTCCGCCTCTGCTGAGATCGAGGACGCTTCCTGCAATTGTGGTGCCGGGGTTGGATATTCTGAGGGCGCAGATCGAGGGAAAACGAGTCAGAGAAGGTAAGGAAATAGACTCATAGTAATATTATTAACTTCCCGTAGGGTAAGTTATAGTAATCGCAAAAAAATCAAAAATGAAAATTTTTATATATCTTTACATTTCAGAGGTTTCTGAACATTTTGGCATACCTTAGAAAAAATGGATGTATGTGTGTGTGTGTGTGTGTGTATGTGTGTGTGTATGTATGTATGTGTGTGTATGTATGTGCGGATACAAATTTTCGTCGACGATTTCGGGAACACGGATCAACCGATTTGAATAATTTAAAAAACATTCGATTCGTATTGATAAGGAGACGTGCTGATTAGTTTTTGGCAAAGGCAGGTCTAGCCGTTCCGAAGATATGGGGCAAAAAGTGCCAAAAACGGTACCTCAGCTTTTAAGAGAACGGAGCGTCCGATTTGAATAATTCAAAAAACATTTCACTTGTATTGACAAGATGAAGAATCGATAAAATTTTCATGAAGGTAGGTCTAGCGGTTTCGGAGATATAGAGGAAAAAGTAAAAAAATGGGCCATTTGGCGGTAAAAATGATCATTAGACATATGCACATCAAATTATCAGATATTTTATAGAGATTTTAACAATAATTATACATTTTGTTAACATTCCTATGGGTTCCGTACCAATGCTCATGCGTTAGACAGCGACGCGGCGCTTACGCGCTTTATATTTTGTCCCTATGCAGTTAAAGCAGTACGATTGCTTTGAAAAAGAAGTTCAGATCTTCCACAATATGTCAAAATAAAGAAAAAATTTTTTTTTTCAAAAAAAAAAATTTTAAAAAAATTTTTAAAAAAAAATTTTTTTTTTCAATAAAAAGTAATTTTTTGTCAAATTTATAGTTTCTCAAAAATCTCATTTTTTCAAAGTAAATTTTTTTCAAAAATGTTAATCGTGTTTAAAAAGAAATAATAATTTTTGGTACGGGAAGTTCCAGCAATTTGCCTTAAGGCACGATGCCCTAATTGCCTTAAGACAGAATTCCACTTACAGCTAGTTAGTAACTTTTATTAGACTTCTGTCTTAGACTCATAGTAATATGATTAATATCTTTCATTAGACTTTTGCCTTCAGATTACAAAAAATATCAAAGTATTTTTGCATATTTTTTGTACATCTTAAAATTACTTTTTTCTCTACAAGTTGACATGCAAAATGTTCGAGAATTTTTTTTACCAAAAATTGCACTTATATTTGTCTTTGAACTATAGTGGACATAAATTTGTAGTTGCTTCAATTTATTTCTTCTATTTATTTTAATTAATATTAATATTTGACTAAATCTCTGTATTCTAGAGATTATTAAAAAACTTTAAGAAAGATTATAAGTCCCCATCTAGCATCAGACTTTAATTTGTGAATACACTTTCTATTTTTTTTATTTTTATGAGCTTTTTTCTATAAATATATCTTATAACTTGTGTACTAATTTTTTTCCAGTAAACTTTAAAACAATGTATAGATTACCAAACAGGCATCTGGTATAAAACCCAAAAATTTCTACCACTTTTCTAATTAATATCATTTTTTTATCATAAATCTGCTTAGTGCTCTTTCACAACCAGATGGTCAACAGCAAAAATGCCCTTCCTAAGTTTTCTAGTAAACTTTAAGACAAAGTATAAACCCCTAAATAGATATTTGGGTATTTTTTTGTTTTTCTATCATAAATCTGTCTGGAGTCTTTTCACCACCAAATGGTCAAAACCAAAAATGCTCTTCCAAAAACAACTTTAAGATAAAAGTTTCTTAAAAAACATTTGGATACTATTTTATTCCTTGCACCTCTCTTAATAATTTTTCGCTATTTTTGTGCTAAACTAAAAATCTTGACATTCAAGGGTATTCCAGGAGTTTTGATCCTGGAAAAATTAAACTTTAAATAAATTTGAAGTAATTATGTTGTAATTTGTGGACGATAACTCATTGCTATAATCTAATGGCACCTTTGTTTCAAAATCACAGTTAGTTTTCTACTAAACTAATAAATATAAGGTTCTTGAGCATGAGTATGTAAAGAAATAATGGATTTTTGAGTTAAAAGTTGCAATTGTATTGGAATTTTAGAAAAATTGCATATTTCAAAGTTTTTGTTGTTGTTTTATATATTTGTCATCAATTCGTATTTTTTTTTTCTAAACTATAGAATATATGGTTCTAAAACCTTAAGTCATGTAAGGAACAACTTACACTTGGCTTTTTGACTGTAAGCCCTATTTCCCAAAGAATTTAATGAAAATGGTATATTTTAAGGCCATTTATACATTCCTGGTACTCTCTTATGAACAAAACTATTTTCTACTAAACTACAAAATCTTAGGCTTCAGAAATTCTTATTGTTAGTGTGGGAACAAAATTTTTGATTACGTCAATTTTAATATAAAACGTCATACTTCGATGGACTATAATATATTCCTGTTTTTGTATAATACTTATGTCTCAAATTTATTACTATTTTTCTCCAAAACTATCAAAAATAATGTTCTTGAAATTGAAAGGTAAGGAACTGCTGATTTTTTAACTAAAATCTCTATTCTGAGCTGAATTTACGGACAAAATTGTACATTTTTAGTACGATAATATCAATTATTAAAAGCAATAATCTTAGATATTCCTTGGAAAAGCTTTTGGACCAAAATAATCATATTTAGTCTACACACTAGAATAGAAAAAAACAACTTTATAAATAATTAATAAATTACAATTTATTTATTCATCTAACTAACTATCTACTACTTAATATCTATTAAGATCCAAAGTAACATTTGTGTTACCATTCATTTGATTTTTTCGATTTTGTTTTTGATTTTGCAAAAATTCATCACAATCTTTGGTCAGCCCCAAAATTCTTGGCAAGAGCCAATTTAGGAGGATGAATCTCACTTTTTCTGGGAAGAACCTAAAAATATAAAATAAATGTAGAAAATATTTGTTTATCTGTTTATGTTTTCATTTTTTACCTTATTGGTGCCATACAATAATAATGAGTCGTAGGAATCGTAAAAGTGGTCACATTTCGTAGAACATTATTTGCTAATATGCGAGCTGCATATTTTGGACAAATTGGAGGAATTCTATTAGGAGGAAAACACATATCTTAATGAATTGGTTAATCTCAAAAATAGAGCATTTAATACAGTTTTTATCACCAACTTATAAGAATAAACAAATCGTTAAAAATTGGTCAAATAATAATTGATCAAAAATTTCGAAAATGAGCGATTTTTAGTAACTGGGTTACACAACAAATGTTTACTTGAAATTTTATACCAGGAAGTCAAACTATTTGAATTTTTGATTAAAGCAAGTTGTTTTTACAAAACTATCATACCGATTTCACTGAAAATTCAAAAAAATCTATTCGTAATTCTGAAGATGAAAACTCATATGTCAACTTTGTGTGTTCCAAAAATTATTCCAAACTTTCTGGAATTTTATAATTCACCAACTTACAAGAATTTGAATCTGTTCAACATCTCAACATCGGTTTTCATAAAATAAGGCAAAGCCGTGCAGACATTTATTCCTTTTATTCCTCTCATTTTTAAATCGTCTTTTAAAGAATCCATTAATGTTTTGACTGCCACTTTGCTGCTGCAGTATGCTGCTCCATATCTGGCTCCGGCGAAAATTGCCTCGGACGCCACTGCCACGATCAAGCCCCTTTGGTTTTCGATCATTGGAGGCAGAAAGGCGTTTATGGTCTTGGAAAAACATGAAAATTATTGAAATAATGATAAAAATGTATTGAAATTTTGCATAATTCATAGTTGAAACGTGGACTTGTATATATTAGGTATCGATTTAGGAAAATTTTTTTTAGATTTTTTTAAATAACTCGGAAACTTTGTTCTGGACCTTTCAATTTCTATACTTTAGTCAAAACTAGATAAAATTTACTAAATAATGTATATATGTAAATAAATAAATAATAACAATAATAATAAAAAAAATATTAGTAAAAACTGTTATTTACACTTGGATATCAAAATTTTGCATAATTCATAGTTGGAACGTGGACTTGTATATATTAGGTAACGATTCAGGACATTTTTTTATATTTCTTCAAATAACTTGAAAATTTTGTTCTGGATCTTTCAATTTATATACTTTAGTCAAAACTAGATAAAATTTCCTAAAAATTTGGTATATATTGTTACATACACTTGCATAATAAAATGTTTATAGTACATTTATATTTTTTAGTCGTATAAATATTTTTATTACCAAAACGTGTGCCATCAAGTTGACATCTACAATTTTCTTGAAAATAGATGGTTGGTCTATGGAAAAGGAAAACATTTCCATAACTCCTGCATTATTGATCAGGATTTCCACTGATCGTCCAAAATCCTTTAAAATATTCGTTTTCAGCAAATCTACTTGTTCGGGATTGCTGACATCTGTCTAAAAATTAAAAGAAAAAAATACCAAATTTTTAGAGATTTTTTTCACAATTTGACTCTGAATAAATAATATGTTAATAATTTATTTATTAACTTCGAGGGTAAGTTATTGTAATTGTCTAAAAATTGAAATTGAAAATTTATGCATTTCTCGACGTTTTGAAGGGTTCTGAACATTTTGGCACCCCTCAGAAAAAATGAATGTTTGTGTATGTATGTATGTATGTATGTATGTATTGTGTATATATTTCATTAAGGTACGGAAAATTCCAGCAATTTGCCTTAAGGCACAATGCCATACACCACTAGTTTACTTATAATTAGTTATTATTAATAGAACAATTACAATAAAACAAACACAACTATTAATCACAGTTTATTTTCAAACGAAGGTTGTTCTGTGAATTATTCCATAATTTCTCATTATAAAAAATATGTTTGTAATTTTTTACGATTTGTTTTGATTGCAATTTTATGCTAATTTATAATTAAACGGCGGAAAATTAATAATTAATTGATAAATGATTAATTAGCTATGACAATAATTAATTGTCATAAAGAATTAAAATAAAGAGTGTGAAATTTTTTTTGACTAACGTAGTTTAAGTAGTGATATTTTTTTTAATTGTTGTACTTTGTATTTGAATAATTTTTTGGTAAAAAAATGTTGTATTTCTTGTAACTTAATTTTTTATATCATGACTTGTCCAAAATATTTTCTGTAATTTTTAAACACGTTCATCATCTAAGATCACGTCGGGGTCACCAATTTAGTGACAAAAGAAACAATTATACAAATGAAGAAAACTTTATATATACATCCTTTTAGACAATGTCAGGGTCACCAGTTCGGTTAATTTATTTACCAAAATAAATAATTAAACAAATGAATAAAAAATCGACTAAAATTATCTTAATGTCATGGCACCGATGTCTAGCACCGCCACAGATTTAAATTTAATTTGATAACAATTTTATATTATAATTTAATTGTTAGTTATTATTTTATGAAAAATTATAAAAATGTTAAAAAATAGCTCCAAATTTAGATGGACGTATCCTAAATTTATTTAGGATTTATTTACTATTTTTTTACCTAATTAACTACTTTCCTTAACAACTATATGCCTCCTTATTGTTTCAACCAAAAATTTCTATCTTTTTCCATTTACCTGGTACCATTGTATCCTGACACCAGGATGTTGCTTTTTAATATCTTCTACAGTTATCATGGCAGATTTTCTATCAATATCAGCAATTGCAATATCACATCCTAAAGATGCAAATTGAAAACTGATTTCTCGACCGAAACCATTTGCTCCACCAGTCACCTGGAAATTGTCCAGAAATAAAATAAATAGATGGCTAAAAATTTTTAATTTTTAATTTTTTCAAGTTGGAATTTGGTTGACTAATAATTAGACCAAGTTGGTTATTGGATAGAATTTTACCAGAAATATAATAGGTTGGCATAAGGTGTCTTTACTAATGGTTCGAATAGAAATTTGGTTGGCTGGTAACTGGAACAACCAGAAATTTTTGTTGGTTTTAAGATGGATATTGACTAGAAGTAATAGATGTAGATGGCAAGAATTTTTTTTTCCAATTTTTGCAAATTTGTCTAATAATTCATGATCATATTTTTGGTCAATAGAAAGACATCCAATACACCAGAAGTATCCAAAAAACAAAATAATTTCTGGATTTTAACTTATGAAATAATTGAAAAGACTAGAATCAAATCATCTACAAACCATATATAACCCTTGTTTTCCTACAATTCTATCAATTTTTTTCCTTCGTCTACTGTCTACTTACCAGGGCCAATTGTCCGTTAACATCCTGCTTCTTGGTCCACCAAAAAAGTCCCAAAAACCAAACCACAAAACCATAATTGACCACCAAAATCATCAATATCAGTTCGTATAAAAGTCTTAAATTTAGCACTAGACTTGAAAAGAAACTTTTTTTCTCAGAAAGTTTCATCTTGAAATCAAATCAAATCTTCAAAGGGTAAAATTTTCAGGATTTTTTTTACTGGTGCTATTTTTTTAAAACTATTTTAAACACTTATTAGTTTAGATAACAAAATATTTTTATACACTTAATTAAATAAAAATTAATTAATTTAGGATTAAAACGTACTAAATTATTTTTTAAAAAGTTCATACATTTTTTACTTATTAAATTTTTAACTAATTTAATTATTTTTTTTGCAGTTTTTAATGATCATTAATTTATTTATTTTTAATTATTAATAAGTCAAAAACCATTTCAACAACCGATGTGGCAACATCTTAGTAGTCATATAACAATTTTTTTTTTAAAAAAACTTAATATTTAAAAAAATTCATAAACAATCAAAATTATTATTGATAACATCTAAATAAAAATTCTAAAAAATATTCACAAAGTTTTTAGTTAAGTTATACATATTACTTAATGAATTATTTATTTATTTATTCTTAAGCAAATAATTTTAATAATTAAAATAAACTGTTACAAATCATTATTATTAATTTAATTATTATTTATTAAAATAAAATCGATTTTTTACAGCGTTTTTGTTCAAAGTACGAGTTTATTTTTTAAATCACCGGAGGTACAAATTTTTCCTCTATTTATTTTTTTATAACTATTTATATTAAATTCTGCACTTAAAATTTGTTCACAAAGCTTTTGTTTAAATTTATACAATTTTTTTTTCTAAAATACACATTTTAATAGTCACTAGAATAACATTTATATATGTATTTGTTTATTTATTTATTCATTTATTTATTTATTTATTTATTTAACAATGTTAATCCAAAGAAGTTCTTGGTAGGACTAAAAGTGTTTTGTTCACCTCAGAAATATTTATGAGAGGAGACCAAGACTTTCTTGACGCATTTCAAAAACAGGGCCGGATTTTATAATAAATTATTAATTATATTAAATATTAAAAAATAAATAAATTCTTGTATTAAACATATAAATTAATTAAATAAAATCAATTTCAATTGCATCATTATTTAGCAAAAATTGACAAAGTTGTAATGAAAAATTTTACAACAAATTTATAAAAATAGTTTGTTATTAATTGTATTTTTCTGACTAATCATTGTTTTTTGTATATAAATTTTTTTTAAAAATTTTACCTAATTTTGTGATAACAAAGTTTATTTATCAAAATGATTTTGTCCCTGGATTTTGTCTGCATAATTTAATTTTTTTAATTTAAAGACTTAATACAAATTAATTATATACATATCAATAAATTACCGACATGTTTTTGTTGTTAAATTTAATTGTTATTGTCTTTGGATGACAATAAAGTACTTTTAAATAAATTAAAAAAATATAAAAAGTCGATATTGTCAAAGGCCAATGTCGTAAAAATAACAATAGTAATAGTAATGTAGTAATAGTAATTGCACCAAGTTAGAAAGTTATTTTCATGATGAATTAACACATTATATATTTGTATATTGTTGTACTCTCTTTTTTGAATTCAGAATTACTTTGCCAAAGTTTTCGTTTCAAATATTGGACTTGAATGGAATTTCAATTTCCCATTTTTTCTCTCAAAACAAACTCAAACTAAAAGTTCGGGAAATATCAGGAGATTATATAGAAAACTACTTAAATTAGTTTATAATATATATATATATATATATATATATAATAGCAAAAAATTATTTTTTTTACTTATTTGATTCAAATCTCCTGAATTTCCGATTAAATTATTTCGAAATTTAAAAATATTTGACCTCAAACGTAAAAGAATAAATGCATCTGATTTACATCATCAAAATATATATATTTATATATATATATGTTTATCATACAAAGTGTCAGACACAAAAAAACAATAAACAACAAATTCAAAAATACAAAATTAATAATTCATTACAATGATGATTGCAAATTTTAAAGTCGTTATTTCTGCATCCTTGAATATATTTTTAATATTTTATATTATAAACAAACTAGAATAAATTAATCAAAAGTTTCTTGAAATAATTTAAAAAATAAACCAGATACGAATGAACTAAAATTTGAAAAAATGCTCTGACAATCTGTAAATAAATTTTTCTGATAACTTATATATTTTATTCAATGATAATTTTAAAGTATACCGCGTTGTTGTAGAGTATTAATATATTAGAAAATAATATAAATAATTCAATTTTAAACAAATTTGTCTAATATTGAATTTGCCATAAATAATTATTTTGAAAGTTACAAGAGATCTAACAAATAAATGCATGAACAAAATCTGGGTTATAATAGATAGTATTTGTTATAGTTTTAAATATTATTTTAAATTATACTGATATTTTATATGAGAAAATATTGTAGTTTAATTCAAAATATTAATTGAAGAATTAAAATGCAGTACTGATAAATAAAATAAAAACAACAGCTTTCAAAACGTCAAAGGTTTAAAAAAAATATCAGAAAGTGTAAATATCGGCATTTGCCAATATTGTTTATTTATAAACTAAAGAAATTATTTGCAGACTTATGAGTTATACATACATATATATATATATATATATACATTATACATATATATATATATATATATATATATATATATATATATATATGATTAAATATATGAATAATTATCGAAGATCTCTTACGTCCGAGTATTGATTTTATGATTGCATTTGCATTTCCTATTGCGAAAATAGATTTAAACTATAAAAATAGTTTATAAATAATAAATTAACTGTTTATTACACATGTTGTTATTTGCAAATGTAGGGTATGAATATTGTCGGATTCTTGGAAAAGTTTCTTAAAAATAAATGATACACATGGAACATATAAATGCATTATTAATTAATAAAAAAATTCTTACATAGCTGCCAATTCATCGTTATATAATTAATTTTTTTTTTATCTACATTTTTTTAACTTCCCGTAGGGTAAGTTATTTTAAATTTATTTTTCTCTGAATTTAGAACTATTTTTTTGTGTTTACTTATAAAAGTGTGTGTGTCTGTTTTCATTTGCATACAAAATAAAAGAATCAATTTTACATATTTAATTATAAAATGTTAAATTTCAAGTTTCAACTTTTCAAACGTGAAATTCAAGTCTATTTATTGTTCAATGACAGCAATTAAATGAACATAAATTATACTTTATATATATTTATATATATAATATATAGATTATTAAAATATAAACTGCAAGCAAGAAATCTGTTTTAAATTTATTATAATGCAACATTTAATTTTAATAATTTGGGTTTTAATATTTTATTAATAAACCTAATATAAAAGGATGTTATTAAGCGGGATAGAAACAAAAATCTTCAAAGTATTTCTTATATTCATATAATTTTTATTTAATAAATTAAGATTGCAAATAATTTTTTATATTATATTAAAACTAATTTACAAGCTTATTTATTTTTATTCATTCATATTTTTTCGCGCTATTTTTTATTTATTCTTATTTTTTAATTTTATTTGTAGATTTATTTATTTATTCATTT